TGTTGTCCAGAGTGAAGGGGTGCACCAAAGTTGGAGGTGCCTCAGCGAGCGTTGTGGTCGGGGCTGCGGGCTCCGCTGGCGTCGAAGGTCCAGAAGGTGCCGGAGTCGGCGGTCCACGCTTTGCCGCCTTCCTGGACGACCAGTACACTTCTTGCACTTCCTGATGGCCTACTTGCTGGAGCTGAGCACGCTGGGCGAGGAAAGTCTGCATGGCTGCTGGATCCTGTGCCATCCCTTTGGGAGTGGCGGTGTGGTCAGCAAAATGCTGCACCAACAAAACACTAGCAAAATGCACTTGCAAGCTTGCAGCCGATACGCCTATAACCCTAATTATAATCCCCCTAAATAGGGGTTACCCCCATTACAAGTAGGGTTATAATCCCAGTTATAAGTAGTTACTAAGTCCCATGGGCCTCCAAGTAGGGTTTTGGGTTTAGGAAAACCAGACATGACTGTAACGACCGATAAATCCTTGCAATCTCAAGCGAGGGATCCAAGCAACCCCAAGACAGAGGAGTCTACGTTGCATAGCTGAATAACAATGCGATCCTTCTTCCAAAAACATTCGGAGAAGGACTCAAAAAATGTGGTCAAGTTTCCCTATAAGACCGTTAATAAGACCCCAACAAAAACCACCACGGCCGTCCTCCATCGGGACCAGGAAATAGAGGTAACCCAAAACCCAAAACCACCTCAACCCTACACTGGACCCTAAAGCCTAAACCTAGATCTCTAACCCCCAGGCCCGACAGACAATGGGAGTCGGACATGGGGGAATGGCTTCCCACTGCAGAACTCCTTCTGCAACTCCCTTGCTTGCAATGCAGACATTGGGATTGGCGGTTTTGAGGTTTTGGGGTTTGGGGTTTAGGGTTTAAGGTTTTTTTTAATCGGACCTTTTCTCCACTTGATGATCCAAGCGAGATGCTCTACGAGGGTTTAAGGTTTGGGGGAAAAGGTTTAGGGTTCAGGGTTCAGGGTTCAGGCATCGAAGCAAAAGCTGTAGCATTGTGGGTTGGGATTGCGGGCTGAAGGTTTGGCATGGAAACCAACAGCTACAGAGCTCAAGCCCTCCTGCACGGCAACAGTCTTGGGGGTTTAGGGTTTAGGCTTAGGGTCAATCTAACATTGGGGGCTTCAGATTGTCACAGCCGGATTCGCGAGGTCTTACTTGCAAAAGTCCGAAACCCTCAAACCCTTAAACCCCCAATCCTACACACCCCAAGCCCTAAACCCCAAACCTGAAAATCAAGACCCTAAACCCTAAAACCCTAAACCCCTAAACCAAACCCCCAGCCCTTAAATCACAGAACAACAGGACTCGGACCCGCTGCCTTGCAACAGCTGAGGAGTCCAAAAAGGAAACCTTAAATCTGAGCCTCCTTTCGGGTTCAAACCTTGGGTCTTTGGGCTCAAGGTTTGGAGTTTTAGGGGTTTAGGGATTTAGCTCGTTCAGGGTTTAGGGGGTTAGGGTTTAGGGGCTTAGGGGTTTGGGGGTTTAGGTGTTTAGGGGTTTAGAGATTTGGGGTTTAGGGATTAGGGGTTTAGGGTTTAGGATTCAGGGCGTAGCTTGGGTCAATCCCCCACCTAGTAATGGGTAGCACAAGGGGCTGCTGTAGGTATGTTGAGGCCCCATCAACTCCATACTTAAGGGCCATCACTTGTACGGGGGGTTGACTTGATTCAAACCTACGCACGGGAGAAGGGGTTAGGGCTTGAGGTCTTGAGGGCTTAGGGTTTAGGGTTGCGGGTCGGGATTGACGGCCTAGAGTTTGGGATTTGAAATAAACTCTAAAAAAATCTCTGGAACTGGTGGTAGAAAAACCTTTCCATCCAACCAGGAAAGCAACGTGAAAGCCTGATTACCCTAATAATAGATCAAGCTGCTCTTCCCTAAAGCACCCTAAACCCTGAACCCTTAATCCAGTCCCAAGATGTCTGATCGAAATTCGGGCACGCCCCCAACAACTATGGCCCACACTGCCGACGCTCCGCATTGTTCCAGACATCCTGAAAACCTCAGCTGGTCTTCATGCTACTTGGAGGGTCAGGAAGACTTAGTGAGTATACTCATAACCCCTATAAGCCACATAGTAACCCCAGTTATTCCCATTCTTAACCCACTTACTAAGTCCCGCCGACCCTCCAACTAAAGTGTGGAGCTGAAGTTTTATTGGAAGTGCCTTGACTTGGCTTCATGTGCGCTGCATGTTGGTTGCAGGGGGATCAGGTACACGAAAGTTAGAGGTGGTGGCTTTAGCTTCTCTCCTAGGACAGAGTACTGCTCATACTGCTTCCGTCGTGACGAATGCATGGTTGTACCTCACAAAGAAGGATACTGAGTCCGGGACGCATGGCCTCGTTCATGAGGTCACACGTGGTCAATCAGCACCGCGTAAACTCCAACCGAAAGGGTTGGACATGTGCTACGCGATGTATATACCACTTCTCATAGGAGCCTTAAATGATGCAACCCATGCTCACAAAACTCTATCACCATGCACCCGCATCTGAAAACAGAGGTCTTTCTTTGGCTCTGTGGCCGTTGGCAACGCTTGAACAAAACCCACTTCATTGGCAATCCTGCTCTTGGTCACTGTAACCCACCAAACCTTCAACCGCCATAGCAAGGACCTCTGAAAACCCCTGCTGTCGTGAACTGCTGTTTAGGATTGGGGGTTTAGGGTGTATGTTGCTGATGTTGTTGCGTGCCAGAAGCAGAATCAAATAACTGTGATCTGCGCCAGCAAAGCAAGGGGACACCTGCAAATTGCGCGCGTAGGGCTTGAGGTCTAGGGTGAAAGGACTCCGGATTCTTGCAGATCCCTTTTCGCTACCCTGGAAGTGCAAAAGCAGCGGCGCGCAAAGTCTCCAACACATGCACTGGGAAACTCGTCCACCATTCACAGAGCAAATGCCATAAACCCTGAACCCTAAACACCATTCACAGAGCAAATGCGGCTAGTGGATTGATTCTGAAGACTGGGATGGACTTGGGGCCCCCACAATAAAAAAAATTGTTGGGGCCCTGCATGCTTACAGGGATTATATAGGGAGTATGATCCGGAATGCTGACGCTTCCCCAAGATAAATGAAAATCGCATAATTCTGTCCATCCTCATTTGGGGATTTCATACTTTGGGTCCCTGTTCTACCTTTCAGCATATTACAAAACATGATGAATAGCCGCCAGAAAGAATCCACAATACCTGCTTCACACAATACAGTCAATGGTAAGTCGGCAAATTTTCCCCGGCATCGGAGCATTCACTGGTCCTGCGGCTGCACTTCAGCATTCCTACCCTGCATCTCTTTTGCCAGCTTCGCTTACTGGTTCTTGGTCCGGAATAAGGGAATGTGACCACTCGGTACTTAAGCCCTATATAATGTATTCCCTAATTCCCTACTAGAACCCGGTGAGCAGCTTCAGGTTTGGGGATTATAGACCGTAAACGCAAATCAAGGTTTTGAACTTGTACTCCAGCCCCTGAAACGCCAACTCGGCCAACTGCATGTCCCCGTTTACTTCAGCCACTAAACCTTAGACCGTAAACCCTAAGCTCTTTTGTCAACATTCAGTCGTTGCTGAAGCTCGGATAAAGATACTCATGCATGTCCTGTCAAGGCCTATCGTGCGGTCTTCGGGTGCCTCTCTGGAGTTCTCCTGTGACCCGTTGTCTAAACTCCTAGTATCCCCCTTAATAACCCCTATAGTAGGCCCCTATATAATCCCCTAGATAACCCCCTTTAAGGAGTTTAGACTATAGCTTATGTCATCTGGGAAACTGGAGCTCCTTTTCAGAGGACACTGCAAGTAAGAATTCAGCGATTTTGAGTCCACACTTTGGACCCATCGTTTGTTGGGATCTCCAAAATTAAATCATTATGGGTTGCCGTACCAACCCCCATACTACCCACCTTAGGTTCGCGCCCTTTATTAGCCTTAAGTAGGCGCAAGTATCCCTAAAAATATGGTTCAGAGGGACTACTGTGAATGGAGGAAATCTTATCCCACCTAATATGGCCGATATTCCAACAATTACAATTACAAAATGTTGGAGATCCCAAACTGGTGCAAGATTTCCTCCACCGCTGTAGGAGTTTAACGTCCTTGTTCCGAATGCTGTTATTTGCTCTACGTACAACTGAGGCAGAGCGTTCTATGGGTGATGAGCCTGTCGCTGGAACG